CTTATAATTAATCTAAAACTATTTCTTCTAAAATCAGAAATGAGACAAGGATGTCTACTCTCTCCGCTTCTCTTCAATATAGTACTGGAATTCCTAGCAAGAGCAATAAGGCAAGAGAAAATCATAAAGGGGATCCAAATAGGGAAAGAAGAAGTAAAACTCTCCCTCTTTGCAGATGACATGATCCTGTATTTAAAGAACCCTTTAAATTCTTCCCTCAAATTACGGATCCTAAACTTTGGCAAGGTAGCAGGGTATAAAATCAAATCAACCCACAAAAATCAATAGCTTTTTTATGTGCCAACAATGAGAAAATTAGACTGGAATCATACAAGCAACTCCATTTGTAATAGCCTCAAAAATAATAAAATACCTAGGAATTAAAGATGTGAAAGACCTCCTTTATGAAAACTTTAAAAAATCTGAAAAAAGAAAGAAGGAAGTGGAAAACATTCCATACTCCTGTATTGGAAGGATTCATTGTGAAAATGGCAATATTGCCCAAAACTGTTTATAAATTCAATGCAATACCCACCAAAATCCCAACAACATTCTTTACTGATATAAAGAAAGCCAAAAATTCATATGGAATAATAAAAGACCCTGAATAGCAAAAACAATCCTTAGCAGAAAGAACAGTATTGGAGGAATATCAATAGCAAAATTCAAACTCTATTACAAAGCCATAGTAATAAAAAAAAAAAAGGCTTGATACTAGCACAAGAATAGTCCTGACAACCAATAGAACAGAATAGAAGACCCAGAATGAACCCACTGACCTATAGTCACCTAAAATTTGAAAAGGGAGCAAAAAACACAGGTTGGAAGACAGCATCTTCAAGAAATAGTGCTAGCAAAATTGACCATACACATGCAGAAAACTGAAGCTAGAGCTTATCACCCTGCACCATAATCAATTCTAAATGGATCAGAAACCTCAATATGAGGCCAGATACCATAAAAATATTACAGGAGGGATAGAGGAAACACTAGAGCTCCTAGGCACAGGTTGAAACTTCCTAAGTAAAGATGCAGAATCACAACAAATCAAAGAAAGACTGGATAAATGAGATTGCGTTAAACTGAAGAGTTTCTGTATGGCAGAGTATATAACTAACAAGATAAATAGAAACCCTACAGAATGGGAGAAGATTTTTTACTAGCTATGTGTCAGACAAGGACCTTGTATTTTAGAGCTCAAAAAATTAACCCCCCCCAAAAAAAATCCTCAAAGAAACAACCGCCTCACTGATAAGTAGGCTAAAGACTTAAAGACTTCTCAGAAGAAAAAAATGGCCAATGTACACATAAAGACATGTTCAAAATGTGTATATATACAAGATGCAGGGCACTGGAACCAAATACAGTCAAAACAGGGGTTATACCATGGAGGAAGAACATACTAAAGAAACAAAAAATCACAATACATTATAAAATATTAAAAATAACAGCAAGAAAGGTAAAACCACTTGTGTCCCTAACTTTGGGTTCATTTCGCTTAGCATCATCTTACATGGTCATATGTATATAGCTTTTGACCTTTTCTGGTTGTCTGGTAAGAGTATCCTAGACGTATACTAGTTATTGCAAATAAGGGAAACCATGGGGCCTACATTTCTTTGGGCCTGGCTTACTTTAATTAATATAATTTTTTCCAAGTCTTTCCATTTTCTAACAAATGGGGTGGTGTCATTCTCTCTGATGGAGGCATAGAATTCCATTGTACATACATACCACATTTTCTTGATCTATTCATCTACTTTTCTAATTTGAGGAGGGGAAAGGAAATAACAAAATGCTGAAATAAGAATACAGGTTGAGGGCTGGGAAGGTGGCTCAGTGGTAGAGCACTTGCCTTGAATGTATGAGGCCCTAGGTTCGATTCCTAGCACCACATAAGCAAAAAGAAAAAAGCTGGAAGTGGCGCTGTGGCTCAAGTGGTAGAGTGCTAGCCTTGAGCTGAAGAGCTGAGGGACAGTGCCCAGGCCCAGAGTTCAGGCTCCACAACCGGACCCCCCAAAAAAAAATACAGGTTGACCCATTGTAATAATGAGATGTACAAGACACTATGTTGAAAACAAACTCTACAACTTAGGGAGGGGAGGAGTTGCGGAGCTGGGGAGGGAAGGGATGGTAGGGGGAAAACAAAGGAGGAGGTAACAATGCTTGATAGGAAATATACTCATTACTTTACTCATGTAACTGTAACCCTTCTGTACAGTATTTTTACAATAAAAATATATAAAAATAAATGTTCAAACATCTCTGGCCATAAAAAAAAACAAAAATCAAAACAATATTGAGATTCACCTTACTCAAGTTAGAATGGCCATTATCTAGAAAACTAACAGTAACAGATGCTGGCAGGGATGTAGCCAAAAAGGAATACTACTACACTGTGGAAATGTAAAGTTGTTCAACCACTCTGGAAAGCAGTATGGAGGTTCCCCTAAAGACTCCACATAGAGCTCCCCTATGACCCAGAAATTCTACTTTTAGGCATTTATCCAAAAGACCATAAACCAGGCCACACTAAAGCTACCAGCATAACCATGTTCACTGCAGCATTGTTTACCACAGCCAAGATATAGAATCAACCCAAATGCTCGTCAGTGGATGAATGGATCAAGAAAATTTGGTATGTATGCACAATGGAATTCTACTCTTCCATCAGAAAGAATGATATTGTACTATTCATAAGAAAATGGAAAGACTTGGAAAAAATTATAAGTAAGCCAGAACCAAAGAAACATAGGTTGCATAGTTTCCCTCATTTGTGGTAACTAGAATGTACCTATTAATCAAGTAAACACACTGGATGGTAAAAAAAAAATACACTTGGACATAAATTATACAGGTCTCGACATTCACACACTAAGAAAAGGATGTTATTCTTAGGAGAGAATCACAAGGCTCAATATGCATATGATCACATAAAACATTTATCAAAATGAACTCTAAGGGCTGGGAAGTAATTAGTGGTAAAGTGCTTGCCTAGCATGCACGAAAGCCCCGGGTGACATTCCTCAGTACTACATAAACAGAAAAGGCCAGAAGTGGTGCTGTGGCTCAAGTGGTAGAGTGCTAGCCTTGAGCAAAAGAAACTCAGGGATAGTGTCCAGGCCCTGAGTTCAAGCCCTAGGATTGACAAAAAAAAAAAAAAACCTCCAGGAAACAGAAACATGACTTTCTTTTCTTTGTTGCTGTTTCTGTTTTATTTGCCTTTTGTCTTGTTTATCTGTCTTTGAGAAGGTAAGGGGGCACAGAAAGGGTAGGACATGGGGTGAACAGTGCAGCAGTTATACTTACTAGACAGATACTATGTTAAAAATGAACTAGTCAACTTATGTGGGGAGAGGGTGGGAAGGGAAAATCTGGGAGAAAGCTAGGGAAGGGGTGACACTGTTTAAAAAGAAATGTACTCTTAGCCAGATGCCAGTAGCTCACGCAGAAATATACTCTCTGCCACATGCCAGTAGCTCACGCCTGTAGTCCTAGCTACTCAGGAGGTTGAGATCTGCGGATTGCAGTTCCAAGCCAGCCTGGGCAAGAAAGTCTATAAGACTCTCACATCGAATAAACCACCAGAAAACCAGAAGTGGTGCTGTGGCTCAAGGGGTAGAGTGCTAGCCTTGAGCTGAAGAGCTGAGGGATAACACCCAGGCCCAGAGTTCAAGCCCCATGACTGACAAAAAAGAAACAAAGAAAGAAATGTACTTTTTACCTGACTTATGAAATGGTATCCCTCTGTACAACACCTTAATAAACAAATCATATTTTTTAAAAAAATTCTTTGGTGATATAAAAGCTGTTAACATCTCAATGGCTGAGTTGGGTGATTTTTATATTCCTATACCATAAGTGATTATATCGTTTTACTTGTGAGTTCTCAATGTTAACCTGAACAGAGGAACTTCTAACTAGTTGCAAATGCTATATCGGTTAAAAATTCACAAAGTTAGCTGTACCAATAACACAACTTTTTTTTTTTTTTGGTCGGTCGTAGGGCTTGAACTCTGGGTTTGGGCGCTGTCCCTGAACTCTTCAGCTCAAGGTGAGCGCTCTACTGCTTGAGCCACAGCACTACTTCCGGTTTTCTAGTGGTTTATTGGAGATAAGAGTCTCACAGACTTACCTGCCCGGGCTTGCTTTGAACCTCGATCCTCAGATCTCAGCCTCCAGAGTAGCTAGGATTACAGGCATGAGCCACTGGCGCCCGGCTCCAATAACACAACTTTTTTTTTTTGCTAGTCCTAGAGCTTAAACTGAGGGCCTGGGCACCATCCTGGAGCTTCTTTTGTTCAAGGCTAGCACTCTACCAGACAGCCACAGTGCCACTTCCAGCTTTTTCTGTTTATGTGGTACAGAGGAATATCACCCAGGTCTTCATGCATGCTAGGCAAGCATTCTACCAATAGGCCACATTCCCAGACTAACACAACTTTTATAAACACAATCTGTATGCAAATCTTATAACCATGGCATTTTTTTCACCTAATTTTTTTTTTTTTACTGAAACATTATTCATTAGAGTTCAGGGGCTGGGAGGGTGGCTCAGTGGTAGAGTGCTTGCCTTGCATGCCTGACGCCCTGGGTTCAATTCCTCAGCACCACATAAGCAAAAAGAAAAAAGCCGGAAGTGGCTCTGTGGCTCAAGTGGTAGAGCGCTAGGCTTGAGCTGAAGAGCTGAGGGACAGAACCCAAGCCCAGAGTTCAGTCCCCACGAAAGGACCCAAAAAAAAAAATAGAGCTCACTGCTTCTTCTCATATGTCTTTTAGTAAAAGTTGATATTTATCATTATGCATATATTACTTTGATTTTAAAATCAATTCGAAATAAGAGCATTCATGTAAAAAGAATATATAAGGAATGTTCACCACCTCTACAAGGAAATTTGTTTAAATCTGTTTTCTTAGTATAGCTTTTGCTATCCATTTTTTTTACTTAAAAACACAGGTGTAAGAAATATTTCATGTCTTTCTTTTGTGTTCTACTGTACCTTCATCCAATTTTGTTCCATTCCTATCCTTCATTTTCTGAAGTGAAGGTAACTTCCGTGCCTCGCTAAAATCGTAATTGTTGAAGATCAAACAATATCCTCGAGGTTTGTTCTTCATTTGGTAAACCTTGTCCAATGTCTGGAAAACAAACACCCAACCCAAGGGCTTACCCTGGGGATCAAACACTAGAGAATAGGTTAAGCTAGCCCAAGTGGGAAACAGGTGTGCTTTCTGATGCTCTTCCAGGGCCCATTTCCTTGAAGAACTAATTTCCACCCCTGCCCTCACACAGTCCCTCCCCCCTCACCCCCAGATGCCTGCTCCAGAGTCAGCTGTGTAGTCAGTGTCCCTGGGTCTTCTGAGCACACTGCATCTATGTCAGTATTGCAATAGTATTTCATCATCACTATTTGTTTTCATTTCTGCTTCCTTTGCTATACAGAAGCATAATCAATGAGGTTACAGCTATGACAGGGCTGGAATTTAATTAATTTGTGAGAGCACAATCAAGAGTAGCTAGTGGTGGAAGGAGCTTAAAGAAGAATAAAAAAGAATAGACTATTTGCCACTATTAAAGAAGAACAAGGAAGCCTGTTGGGAACACAGGGGAAAGTTCAGGGAGTGTGAAGGAAGGGGTGATTGATTGGAATACAAGTTTAATGTGTATAGAGATGTAACAATGAAATCCCTCCCCATCTAAACACCATAAGCCAATACAAAAATTAACAAACCAGAGCAATGGCTGAATGTCTTTGAGCTGCCCAATGACCTGTGAATCTCATGATTACCAAGTGATTCTTGCTTCTTGGCTAACTTGGTTGAGAATCTACCCTTCAGTAATGATGTATTATGGTCCCAGGATAGTGAAAGATAATGTTTTAATTCAGAGCTCAGAGCCCCATGGTTGGTAGAAAGAGATGGGCTGTTGATAATGTAATTTACAGAGTCCAGACCTCGCAGAGGTGTCCTCAGAATTTAGTTGGAAGACTGTGCAGTCCCTGTGCTACAGAAAAGGACTCTGGGTTAAGAAGTCAAATCTCTATGTCATTATCTTAAGACTTTGGGCAAGTTACCTAATCTCTTATGATCTTTGTATGTTGACTATAATATACAATGTTTTTATTAAGTACTTAGTGACATATACTTCCTATTGTTTTCTTTTAAGTATGCTAAGTATTTAATAAGTATACAGAGTACATTTATTAAGACACTTTAATGAGAAGATTTCCTAAGTATTAAGGTTGCATATTTAGCTGTCTGGTATGGACAATGTCTATCAAGGGCAATCCTCTCTTAAAGTACCACATTGCCTTGATTTTCAGATGGAGAGGGGTCTGTGAATTTTCTCAGGAGCCCACACTAGCACACAATCTCAAGCCTAATTCAGGTCCCCAGGGTCTCCTGTGCTTCCTGCTTCCTGTCACAGGAAGAAATGGATGGCCTGTATCAGCTGCCCTGGACATTGATGAAAATGAACTAAGCAACTCAAGGGCATCAAGGGAGGGAAGGAAAGAGGAAACAGCTGACACTAAGCAAAAGGAAAGAAAATAATTGTATTGTCAAAGCTCTTAGAATTCACAAACATTATAGACAATGATAATGACAATTTACCTTGTGAAGGTTAAAATGTGTTTGTGACTTTAAGTACTGTGAAATTTATGTAATCACTTAATCTCAAGAAAATTATTTTAAAAAGCAATGAATGGGCTAATGAATCAACATGTACTTGGTGAATTAATGAAAAGTTACACAGAAGTACTGTCTAGAAAGTAGATTTTCTTTTTCTCTGGCTCCCTGATATAAGAATAAAGAGATGACTACATCATATTTGTTGCCTTGTGGCTAATCACGAAGGAGAAGTATTTTTAAAATACCAAGCTGGAATAAAAGGCTTTACGTGTACCAAGTCTGCTAGACTATCCGCCAAAGCCTTCCCCCTTCAGGCTGGCACACCCACTCACTGTCTCTACCCTCCAACCAGTACCGTACTTTTTTTGTCTTTCAAGTTTTAACACACAAGAAACTACAGAATCTACATTTTTCCTGAGCAAACTCAAGGCCCCGAGTTCAAGCCCCAGTTTGAACCCCTACCAAAAACAAACCAAATAACAATAACAAAAGGGAGCTAACAAATATGAGAACTAGAATTGTGATGCAAAGGGAAAGGTGATCCGAACACATCTCTGTACCTCTGACTGGTTGTCTTCTCCTGGAAAGCCTGGTGTTTGCGGCAAGTTAGTGGGCATATTCCCTACAAGCGATGAAGAAACACATAAAGAATAAGACACAGCAGTAAATGTGTAGCAGCAGAAGATCCTTTTGAAGATAAAAATTGGAACTGCCTGGGACAGAATTTCCTTTCAGGTCAGAGACCCTGCAGGCAGATCTATTAATGTGCTTCTGGAAACAGCCTTATTACTCAAGGGAATATCATAGCAAAAGGTGTCATGATTTCCTCCATATTGGCAGGCTGAGTGTCATGACATCTGTAAAGCATTAATAAAACTACTCATGGGAGATATCGTTGATTCAAAAGTCCTACCTATGGCTGGAGATATGGGTCAGCAGTGGATCGCCTAGAAAGGTGTGGGTTCAAAACCAAGGATTGCTGGGTGCTGGTAGCGTACACCTGTAATTGTAACTACTGAGGAGGCTGAGATCTGAGGATTTCGATTAAAAACCAACTTAGGCAGGAAAGTCTATGAAACGCTGATCTCAAATTAACCACCAAAAAGCCAGAAGTGGGGCTGTAGTTCAAGGAGTAGAGTGCCAGCTTTGAGTGAAAAAGCTCAGGAATAGCACCCAGGCCTCAAGTTCAAGCCCCAGCGCGCACACACACACACACACACACACACACACAGTAGGTTTCTGGGTGACATTGATTGAGATGCATGGTATTCATAAATTGACATGTTTAGTTGAAACCCTTTTGTAAACTACTCAAAGGTAAGTTTAAAATAATAACTATTTTTTAAAGAAAACAGTATCTACACACACACAAGCACACATACATACACGAATGTATGTGTGCATGAGAGCACGCATACACATAGAGCTTGGGTAAAAATATAACAGAACAATCACCATATTGATATTTATGGGATTATAACATTGAACAGAATCCCCGAGAGTTCCTTTTGCTTCTTCAGCCTAGCTTCCCCAAGTGGGGACTTCTCTCTAGGACTTCTCTCTAGGATAACAATGGGGAGGCAGGCAATGGGGAGTTCAAGTAGGGCACAGACTTGGAAAGGGGTAGAGGGAGTAACTCACATTTGCTCAAGAAGCCTCTGGCCTTGAGAGAAGAGTAAACTTGTTCTTGTTGAAAGAAGAAGAGCCTTAATCAAGAAAGTTCTGGAAAATAATTTGAATCTAGCGACCCAGTAGACACACAGTAAGACAAAAGCAGATAAAAGAAAACAGAAAAAAGTGAAGACCTTATTCGTGACTAACTGCACTGATTTCAAACATGCTAGCCTGGGGGCTGTAGAGTATGCTTTGGAAAAGTCTTTACATCTTTCAGTGTAGAGAGAGGGTGATTACAAGTCACCATTGTAGCATGTGGTAGAAGGTGGTGGGAAGGAGGTAGGAGGATGTGAGCGAGGAAATTGACTCAGTAGATCTTGAAGATGTATCTCCAAGCATTACCATCCAAAAATGAATCTGGACTTCTTTCAAGGCTCATGCTTCTCTCTGAATAAAAAAATATGTAAGTGATTAGAAGCAGTTGTGCTACTGAAGGATTTGTCAGTTTAAGAATATATTTTGCTGGGCTCAAGCAGTAATGTGTTTGCCTGGCAAGTATGAAGTATGGCCAAAAATGGAAGGAAGGAGGGAAAGATGGGAGGGAAGGGGGAAGGGAATATATTTGACTGATTCTTACCTGTCCTGTCATTTCTATTTGATTCGTAATCATTTATCTTGATCAGTAGGCTCTTGTTGATTTGCTCACAGATTTTCTTCAGGACGTCTAAGTTTCTGTCCCCTAGAAGGACCCTTTTCTCCATCTCCATAAAAATATCAAGCAAACTCTAGGGAAGAGGAATAAAGTGGGGAGACGTGATTGAAGCATGCAGGTTTTTAAACTTTGACTTCACTTCTGCTTTCTTCAAACCAAGGTACCACACTCACTTCTCAAGAAGACCCTCTCCCCCTGAGAGCACATTACATTGGACCCCTGCACTTGACAGACTACTGGGGAGACAATTCTGTGTCTTCTGGCCTGGAAGGACAGAAGTGAGTGGAAGAAGAAGTCTTAGCAGTTATCATTCAGGCTCCAGGCCCTGTGCTTAAACTGAGTGTTGAGTCTTTTTTTTGGGGGGGGGGAAGGTCCGGTCGTGGGGCCTGAACTCTGGGCCTGGGCACTGTCCCTCAGCTCTTCAGCTCAAGGCTAGCGCTCTACAGCTTGAGCCACAGCACCACTTTAGGCTTTTTTCTTTTTGCTTATGTGGTGCTGAGGAATTGAACCCAGGGCCTCATGCGTGCAAGGCAAGCGCTCTACCACTGAGCCACCTTCCCAGCCCTAAGTGTTGAGTCTTTGAGTAATAAATCAGCCTGAACTCTGTGGCTGAGACACGGCAGGCTGTTAACCAGTGACATGGTATAGCCTTACATCCTCACATTGTCTCTAGCACCCAATTCCCAATCCTCCTCCAAATTGAAATACACACACACACACACACACCACAGTAACAGAAATATATACACACACATATACCACACATGTACACGAGATACAAAACAAACAGACAGTTGCACACACAGTCATAAAACACACAGAGTCATAGAATACACATGGAAGAACACACAGAGTTATCTCAAGGGTTTCAGAAGTGGGGGACAGGACTCAGAGCACCACTTCCTGGCTCTGCTGGGTCCCATACTGGGCTAGGCTGTGGAGTTTCCTCCTGCCTTTGCCTTGCTGCCAATAACGAATCTGAGTAGTACTCCACAATACAGAGGCATCTAGTCTACATTGCTCCTGGTTAGCCAATTTCCTCTCTTGATTAAGAAGTGAGAATCTAGGCTGCTTTGCCCAAAAGAGCCCCTCTTTGTAGTCTTTATATTTTTAGGTCTAAGACCAGGACTTGAACTCAGTCCCTGCTGCTTTGCGCATTGGCTAGCACTCTATCAATGGAGTCACATCTCCAGCCCCTCTTTTTAGTCTTAAAGGGAGGTATCAGGTCTTACCATGTCATCATCCAGCTTACACCTGGGTAGCTCCTTGCTTAACAAAAACTTAAAAGACTTCAATTCCAGTTTGCTTACATCTTCTGAAATCTGAAAAAGCATGACCCTGTGGTAGGAAATGGAGATATTTAGAAAGAAAGAAAAAAAAGGCTTTCCTAGATCATTTCTATTTGTTGTATACGAAGTCACAGCGGTCCAGATTCCAAGGGCCTCCCTTCAAAACAGAACCAATTATCGATAGGACTTGTGAGCTGAGTTGTAAGCGCAGGGGCTGGCAGGGTGTGGCAGAATTCTCAGACTCGTGTCTATATTATTCCACCATGAACAATGTAAAAGTACATCCGATGTGTCTTAGGTAATTTCAGTTAACTGAAGCTTGCTTTTCCTTTGTTTTTTTTTCACTATAAAATCAAGAGTTTGTTGCAATAGAAAAAAAAAAGGCCTATACATCCCAAAAGGCAAGCCCCATCATCACATCTCTGACTATATGATCAGCGCTCTCTCAGTCTTATTTCAGGAAGAAAGACAAACATTTGGTTCTAGAACACAAAGACTATACTACAGCCCTCTCACAGACCCACCAACACCAAATACAGCCGACAGCCCCATCTTTTCACTTCCCCCTTCCCCTCCCAGATGCACCTACCCCACTCCACTTCCACCCGCAGCACCCGCTCTGCATTGCCAAGTGTCCTCAGGGCTGTTTTCCTTTGCTGTGCCTTTACAGTATCACTTGGGAAGGGCAATTCACATAATGGTCTTTCCACCAGCAGTCCAAGTCCCCTGTTTGCTGACAGATGGCCTTTCACTTCCATAACCCCTGAGAGTTGTGAATAGAGTGTAGGGGACTCATTAGAACTATGGTCCCACCATCTTTCAGCTGTGTGATTTTAGGCATGTTGGACTTTTTTGCTCACCTTACACTGGAAATACTTATACATGTTATAGTCGTGTATAAATGAACATACAGATAGGTTTATATGAAGTACAGTCCTGTATCACTTAACAATGGTATACATTTTGAGCATTGGGCAAATTCTTCATTTGGCTAGAATTTCTTTTTTTTTTCTTGGGGGGGGTCCAGTCATCGGGCCTGAACTCTGGGCCTGGGCGCTGTCCCTCAGCTCTTCAGCTCAAGGTTAGCGCTCTACCACTTGAGCCACAGCGCCACTTCCGGCTTTTTCTGTTTATGTGGTGCTGAGGAATTGAACCCAGGGCCTCATGCATGCAAGGCAAGCGCTCTACCACTGAGCCACCTTCCCAGCCTCTGGCTAGAATTTCTGTACAGAGTATTTTTTGTTTTTTGTTTTGAGTCAGTTGTGGGGCCCAAACTTTGGGCCTGGGCGCTGTCCCTCAGCTCTTCAGATCAAGGCTAGTGCTCTACCACTTGAGCCACAGAGCCACTTCCAGGTTTTTCTGCTTATGTGGTGCTGAGGAATTGAACCCAGGGCCTCATGCATGCAAGGCAAGCGCTCTACCACTGAGCCATCTTCCCAGCCCCTGTACAGAGTGTTGTTTTTTTTTTAACTAAGGCTTCTATGACTTTTCTAGACAATATAATCCTAAGGGACCACTGACATATATATGTCATGTATTGTTGAGAAAAGTATTATACAGAACGTGGCTGAACTTAAACCAATCTTTGGCATTACACTAAGTATTCAGAAAGTGATTAATATTTTCTTTTTATTATCTTAAGTAGTTGTACAAAGGAGTTGCCATTCAACAACACAGTTTATGAATACAATATGTCTTACTCAGTGTCGCCCATTTCAACATTCTCAACCATCCTTCCCAATCCACCCCTTCATTTTTTTTTATTTTCGTAGGATATGCATTGAATATTGCATTTCCCTACCCCCCCCACACACCCTAGTGGGTGGGCATTATTTCCTAATTAACTTGTAGCTTGCTTATGCTCTTGGAATGTGTTTCACAAACAATAGACAGAGGAAATGCTTTTTCAGTGTACAAAACTTTTTTCCCCCACTACTTTGAAGCAAAGGAAAAGAACTTTAATACAAAAACATGTTGCTTTCAACATTAAATTAGAAAATTAAACTTTTTTAAGTGTAGAAACATAAGTTTCTCAGAAATACTTTTCTAAAGTTTCTTATTTTGGGTTGTATACATCTTTTAACTTTATTATAAGGTATTTCATTCCTTTACATTCCTCATCTTTGAAACTTACAGGTTTTCTTGTATCATCATTGTATGGTATGCTTAGTTTATAAGATATGTTATCGCTTATAAGATACTTATTTATAGTAGAAGTTGCAGTTTAAACTACAATATCCAGTATTTACTTATTATGACTACAATATCTAATTACTCTAGTGTTTATAGTTATTGGTAGAAGTTGTAGTTTGAATCTACTATATCTAATATTTCCTTGTTATAAGTATAATATCTAATATTTCTAGTGTTTATAAGGTACTTATTTATATGTAGACATTGTAGTTTGAGCTGGGCACTGGTGGTTCATGCCTATAATCCTAGCTATTCAGGAGGCTGAGATCTGAGGATCATGTTTCAAAGCCAGCCCAGGCAGGAAAATCCGTGAGACATATCTCCAATGAACCACCAGAAAACCAGAAGTGGTACTGTAGCTCAAGTGGTAGAGCACTAGCCTTAAGCAAAAGAGCTCAGAGACAACACCCAGGCCTTGCATTCAAGCCCCATGACTGACAAAAAAAGAAGTTGTAGTTTGAAACTGGAATACCTAGTGTTTCCTTACAATGTGAAGTGGCCACACCAATCTGTTTTCATCTCCTGGTTAATAATGATGATAAAGTAGGTAATAGTGATTGTGTAGACTCTTTTTTTTCCATACCAAGATGTAGCACACAGATTCTGTTCTGGTCAGGAGACTCCAAGCTCTCCACCAGATGGTAAAAGTCATCAGCTGCTTGCCTCAACATGGCAAAGAAGGGGAGCCTTCAGAAGTCCAAGCTAGCCTTGCTAGCTCTGGGATTATAGTTTCTTAGGATGAATTTGGTGCTTTATGAATAAGATCCTTGTGGGGCTGGGAAGGTGGCTCAGTGATAGAGTGCTTGCCTTGCATGAATGAGGCCCTGGGTTCGATTCCCCAGCACCACATAAGCAAAAAAAAGCCGTAAGTGGTGCTGTGGCTCAAGCTGTAGAGCACTAGCCTTGATCTGAAGAGCTGAGGGACAGCGTCCAGGCCCAGAGTTCAGGCCCCACGACCGGACCCCCCCCCCAAAAAAAGATCCTTGTAAAGTCTTTACACACTCCAAGGGTACTTGGTTGACTCATCTCCTCCTTTCTTCCCACAAACAGTTATGGACAGTGAGAATGTAGTCTTTGCAGACAAAATTCTGGATCAAGATAGGTCCTAATCCAATGGTTGATATTCTTATAAGAGGGAAATTCAGACAAATGAAACACTGAAGAAAACAGAGGCAGAGGCTAAAGGGATACCTCTAGGAAAGGACCATTAAGAAGGTAGGATTGATGCATGGAGCAGATTCTCCCTCACATCCCATCTCCAAAACAAAACCAGTCCTGCTGGCCCTTTGATTTCTGAATTTGAGGTTCTAGGAATACTAGAGAATAAATTTACTCTAGTGTTTTAAGGCACCCAATTTGTGATACTTGATTGGAGCAGCCCTAAGAAAGCAATACACCTAGAATATTTTGTCACTGAAAATAGCCTCAAATAAGAATACATAATGAGGAACATACCAGAACCTCAGGGACCAGGACATTGACAGGCAGGGCTATCAGTGGATAGTGGGTGACAGTTCTGACTCTGACAAATGAGAGGATGATGAAATGGGCCAGAGCTAAGGTTTATGTAGAAATGTTCAAAGAGAACTAAAAATTAGTTTCAATGAAAGTAATTGAAACACGATCATGTTGAAAGAGAAAAGGTGTTTCCATTCTTTTAAGTCTTGGCACAAATCCATGAAATTGTAACTGTACATGGCTGGTTACCACAGCTCATGTTTCCCATTCTCCCCAGGATGGGGAGAAGCTGAGTCTCATAGGATGGACAGAATTGCCTGAGCACCACCCTTCCCGCACCCCCCCCCCCGCGCCTCCTACCCAGCCCCATTTCTGCACCTAATGCTTTGCTAAGGTTCTACATTAGGATACAAATACAGATGTGCCCGTAGGAACTAAGTGGTCTGTGTGGGGCAAGGCCTGGCAACATATATATTAGAGAACCATATAATTTCAGTGTTCGAGTATAAATCCATGAAAAATTCACTTTATATCCATAAGCAGGTGGGAAGGGCTTATGACAAGGGAAGCCATGATACCTTACCCAATGGAAAGGCAAAGTAAGCATGTGATGTAGGTTCAAAGTGTAGAAGTACCAAGACTAGAGGGAAACATTTATAAAACTCTATTTTAAGTTCCACATAGCTGTAGTTAATGTTTCACATTGAAGAATAAGTTTTTCTCCTCTGAATTACATATAAAGCCCCTAATTTTTTTCCAGGCCTTGAGTTTGAACTCAGGGCCTGAGTGCTGTCCCTGAGCTTTTTTGCTCAAGGCTAGTGCTCTACCACTTGAACCACAGCTCTACTCCTGGCTTCTTTGGTAGCTTATTGGAGATAAGAGTCTCACAAATTTTCCTGGCTTCAAACCATGATCCTCTTATCTCAGCCTCTTGAGTAGCTAGGATTACAGGCATGAGCCACCAGTACCTAGATGCCCCCAATTTTTTTAACCTGGCTCTGATGGGACATCTTCCCAGCATCTCCCAAGTTACACCAGAAATGCAGCCCTTATCCACAGTGTGCACAGAGATGTGTCCAACCACACCTCGCAGTCCCCACACTGTGGAGTTTCTACCTACCTGTAGGCAGAAATCTGAGCCCTGCCTAGAGTCTGGAGCTCCTTTTCCATGTTTTCCTTACTTGTGCTCAGAAAATTTTGCAGGAGATCTAGTCTACTAATTCGGAAAAGCAGCTCCTTCAGGAAGAACAGATTGTCATCCTCCAACATTCCCTTCTCCTGTAATATCTCAAATAATGTCAAGGCATCCTTGATGGGCTCCTGCTTCTTTTGTGGGATGTGGTCCAGGCTCAGGAACTTGAGGGAGGCCAACTCATCACTGTCCAGTTGTTCCCCGATTTTGTAAAGATATCCACTGAAATCCATTTGTGGCAGGAATTAGGAAAGCGGAGATGCAACCTAGGTCAAAATATAATGCTATGCTCAGATAAGGATGAAAGACACCATCTACTGGTTTAGTTTGTTCCATCATTAAGTGCTATTACATATAATATATACCAGATGTTTTACCATAGATACAGGGAATAAGATAAAGGAAGAAAAGGAGGAGAAGGAAGAAGGGAAGAGGAGGGGAAAAGAAAAGGGAGGAGGAAGAGGAGGAGGAGGAGGAAGAAGAAGAGGAGGAGGAGAAGGAAAAAAAGGAGGAGGAGGAAGACAATGATGATGATGACAAGAAGAATGACAGAGCAAGCATAGTAAGTTCCTACTCACAAGTAGTTCTATTTAGAAAGGTAGATATACAAAAAGTCAATGGTCAAACGAACTACAATCCACGTACTTTCTACATCACATGGTCAAATAAAAAACTGTCCCTGCACTGCTTTTGCTTAAGGCTACTGCTTGAGCCACAGCTCCACTTCTGGCTTTTTCTGTTTATGTGGTACTGAGGAATCGAACCCAGGGCTTCATGCATGCTAGGAAAGCACTCTACCAAGCCACTTTCCCAGCCCTAAAAAATATTATTGATTTGCCCATTAGATTAAGTTCTACTGCCAGTTTTCCTTTTTAAAAAATGTGTTTTCCCCTCCTTGGTTATAGTAGCATATATTTATATGTGTGAAAATTGAAAATACAATAAATCATAATATGGTTACAGGTTGAATAAATTCACTCATACTACTACATTCCTATTCCTCTCTTCCCTCAAAAAAATCTTTTATTTCAAAAAGTCACTTCAGACATATGGTCAGTACCTACCAGTACATGTTCAAACTACAACAAATAAAACTGCTCAACACACAACATATCAGATTAGTAATCATTCCTTAAGTACATGCTAGAAACCACTGTATGACCCTAAACAACTAGAAGCAACCCAAATGTCCTTCAATAAAGGAGTTGCTAGCCAAATCAAGGTATGAACATACTACAGTATACAGCAGTTAAGAATAATGCACCTCATCTTTTGAAATAAATATGGCCAGATATCTAAGATGTACTGGAAAAAAGTGACAATGGAACAGAAAAAGTCACACCAGCTTTTTAGTAATATTCAAAACAATACAATAGTTTTTCAGGCACTAGATATACATATATAAAATGACAAAGTCAAAAGAAGATTCTGCAAGCAAACATATCAAAGACATACTGTTGTCCTCTCTAGGACTTAGAGAAGAAGACCAAGACTTGAGGGTGAAGCAATGAGGAAGATAATTTGACTTTCTTTTTCTCTAATGGGTTGAAAGAATGCATGTAGATATGATCTAAATAAGTGAAACACATAAATATAAATAGCAAAAGCAAGCAGTTCAGAGAAAATGCCAGTGACTTTCTAGTGTATGACCAATAACTTTTAAACATTTGAAAAGGTGTTTAATTTCATTTATAATAGGGAAGGGGTAAACTGCAATTATAACAAAAGACAATTTTCTAACTTCCAAAATTGGTCAAGCATAAAACTTACAGTCACCAAGAACCAGTAGCTCACAACTGTAATCCTAGCTACTTAGAGGACTGAAATCTGAGGATCGCAGTTCAAATCCAGCCTGTGCAGGAAAGTCCATGGGATTCTTATCTCCAATTAACAACCAAAAAGCCAAGTGGCTCAAGTGGTTAAAAAGCTCAGTGATGGGCTGGGAAGGTGGCTCAGTGGTAGAGCGTTTGCCTTGCAGGCCTGAGGCCCTGAGTTCGATTCCTCAGCACCACATAAGCCAAAAAGAAAAAAAGCCGGAAGTGGCGCTGTGGCTCAAGTGGTAGAGTGCTAGCCTTGAGCTGAAGAGCTGAGGACAGTGCCCAGGCTCCAGAGTTCAGGCCCCACAACAGGACCAAAAAAAAAAAAAAAGCTCAGTGATAGCATCTAGTCCCTGAATTAAAGCCCCGATTGGCACAGAAAAGAAAAAAATAGACTCATGTAGTGAAATAGAAATAAAAACAGGTGAGTAATCTTGCCATCTCTATCAATATCTGATAGATAAATGTACTTTGACCCCACAATTTCATTTCCAGGGCTCTTTTTCCTACTTAAATATAAGTGTACTCAAAAATATATACAAGGATTTTCATGGTAGTGTTGCTTGAAATAACAAAGAGTAGAAATGACTGTTTTTAGTACAAAAAGAGTTCAGTAAGCTGTACGTCATTTTTAGTGGCATTCTATTCAGCTATTAGGGTAGAAAGATCTTGGTACTGAAATATGTGTGATTTCCATAAGGTATAAATGGCTGAGTTCACAGAGATTCGTTCATTTGTGCATTTACAGAACAGCTTCAACACATTTGCAGGAAGTTGTTTGCAGGTTGCCTATTGGACTGTGGGCCAAGCCATAGAAGTGGGGAGACAGAGCAAAAGTGAAACTGAATCTTGTTTTTACATTCTTCTACACAGTTTGTGCTATTTTCACTGTCTTCAGTCTTTACTATGTTCCCGCATTGCCTACTAAATGTATACAGGCTTAAGTTAAAATCTGTTTTAAGACTCATTTTTATTTATAGGTTGAGAAAGATCTAGATGAGGTCCAGCTTTACTTAGTAGAATTAGACCAACCACCTTGAAAACTTTAAATCATTTTTAACCTCTGATGTCCCAAAAAGAAATGTACCCATTAACTGACTTACATAATTTTAACCCCTCTGTATATCAAGCTTACAATAACACATACACACACACGCACACGCACACACACACACACACACACACACACACATAATTTAACAGAATAAAATCCGCCACAGAATCAAATGAAAGCAAGATCCTTATCCTAAAGCTAGGTGGCAGGCAGTTTTTGAAAGCCAAATCCTAACAGAGTTTTGTCAGTCTCTACAGTTCAGGCCACCACTCAGAGTGTTGGCTTCTCTGTCTAGATCTTCATAAAGATCCCCCTGGCCACAAACAGGGTCCACTGCAGGGCCCTGGAGCCAGGGTGTCCATACAGCCTGGAAAAGGTGTTCAAAGTTCAACAAAATGTAGATCTAACACTGTCAAATAAATGAAACAGAAAATATTATCTGTACAATACTTAACCTCACAAGTATAGGTCTCTGATCTTTTTATCTGTTCTTCTTGTCATACCATTCTATTCTGTATCTTTTAAATTTCCACAAAATATAAATGATAGTTCAATGCTAGAGGACTTTCCTAGCTTGTGCAAGGACCTGGGCTCTATTTCCAGTCTAGCCAAAAAGAAAAATTAAGGTAAATGGCTGAATTACCAAATTTTAGTCGGTTGCATATTGTGTGTCTGAGTATGTGAGTGTGTGAGTGAGTGAGAAAGAGGAAGAGAGAGTTTGAGTGGGAAACCATAGGAGACAAATCAGCTGAGATTCAAATTTTGGCTTCTATTCTTCGATGAGTTTGATCGGATAAAGATGAGGTGGCTGTAGAGAAAGCTGTACTTTGAACATTCCATAAATGTCCTATACTACGTCCATCCGGAAATATCCATCTGATCTGAACATCTCATGGCGCCCTCCGTGCACACACCCTCTGCAAGGCCCCGGGAGGCTACAAATGAACGCTCAGGCCTCCCGCATGTACACTCAAATATGTGATCACCTCCATGGCCAAGTGGCCTCGGCCCACACTCAGCAGCCTAGAAAGCTTCAGACTCGAAGTTCTTCCTCTTAAAACCCAGCCTACCTTACCAGAAGCAAATCCGTCTCAAAGGTAGCACCTTCTTCCCGCGCTTCTTCTCTGGGTGTGTATGGGTAAGAGAAGGGCAAAGCTCAGTACAGAATGCCGGTCAGGGTACTTTTATACTTCCTTCCCACTCTGAGTCACCAGGGAGGAAGAGGCGGGGCTAGCCTCCACATAGCTCCTGTGACGTTTTGTTTTAATATAAATATGTCTCATTTACTAAATGGAAGACAGAAGCCTAGAATTACGGGCTAGGGAGAACACTGTAATGGGACCCTGGATCCCTTGGCTTCAGGACCCATCCTCAGCTGCCTAAAAACATCTTTCAAGTCAGTCTTTCCTCCATCAGTCTTACCAAAGAGGAAGATCCTGGGCTCTTCAAATGCCAGGCCCTGTCTGGTTAGCAGTGAAACAGCACTGTCTGCCTGTTTGTGACTAACTCCAACCCCACAAAGTATCCTCAGCTGTCTGCTCAGTCTCCATCCCAGCGCTGAGCTTGCTAGGGCCTGTACAGGGGCAGCAATATCTATACTCTACAAAGATCACCTGCAAATCTACAAGACAAACCCAACGGTAGAAGGGCAATGGGTATGAACAGCTAAATGTAGAACCTGGGAAATGTGGAATGAAGCAACCAGATAACCACATTTTTCCTGTTAGTTTGGTGATTATGTTCAAGTAGGATGGTTTCATGTCGCCATGCACCACCACAGTGAAAGCAAGTGGTCAGGGCTTATCTAGCATCCATAGATCACACACACACACGCACACACACACACACACACACACACTTTAACAGAATAAAATCCACCACAGAATCAAATGAAAGCAAGATCATTATCCTAAAGCTAGGTATCAGGCAATTTTTGAAAGCCAAATCCTAACAGAGTCTTGTCATTCTCTACAGTTCAGGCCACCACTCAGAGTGTTGGCTCCTGTAGATCCTCATAAAGATCCACCTACTGACAAACAAGGTCCACCGCAGGGCCTTGGAGCCAGGGTGTCCATACAGCCTAGGTCCACATACCATTCAATTATTTAGTATCAAGTACCTACTGTCTAGTATTTGCAAGAGATGGCAAGCTAATTACCACTTTTGATTATTAAATATTGTATATACCCATCAAGTTAGCACAGCAAAGAGACGTCCAACTACTATATATCAATTAAAATAAATTTAAGCCAGGTGCTGGTCTCATGCCTGTAATTCTAGCTACTCTGGAGGCTGAGAGCTGAAGACCCCAGTTGAAAGCTAGCTCAGGCAGGAAAACAGTTCCCCTCCAGACTCTGATTAATCAGCAAAATAACTGGACTGGCCATGTGACTCTTTTTTGGGGAGCGGTTGTGTGGCTTGAACTCTGGGCCTATTGAACATTGTCCCTCAGCTCTTTAGGGCTAACTAACACTCTACTACTTGAGCCACAGCGCCACTTCCAGTTTTCTGGTGGTTAAGTGGAGGTAAGAGTCTTACAGACTTTCCTGTCCAGGATGGCTTTGAACAGTGAGCCTCAGATCTCAGCCTCCTGAGTAGCTAGGATTACAGGCGTGAGCCACCAGTGCCTGGCTGTGGACATGTGACTTTTGTGGTAGAGCACAACTCCTGAGTTGAAGCCCTGATAATAACAAAACTAAATATAATTTCTTAATTTAAAATTTAAATAAAAATATTTTAGTTTACCATGCTTTATATATTTATATATGTATATTTATTATTTTTTACTTGAAAATGCTAAAGACAGAGGGGTTACAGTTACATAAGTCAGGCAAAGAGTACATTTCTTTCGATACTGTCACCCCTTCCCTTGCCCTCTCTTAGTTTTTCCCTCCTATCCCATCCACAAATTGTGTAGTTCATTTCCAACACAGTGTTCAGTGAGTACCATTGCTGCATTTGTTCACTCTTTGTCCCTTCATTTCTGTGCCTATTATACTCTCAAAAACATATAGACAGGGGCTGGGAAGGTGGCTCAGTGGTAGAGCGCTTGCCTTGCATGCATGAGGCCCTGGGTTCCATTCCTCAGCACCTCATAAGCAGAAAAAGCCAGAAGTGGCACTGTGGCTCAAGTAGTAGAGCGCTAACCTTGAGCTGAAGAGCTCAGGGACAGTGCCCAGGTCCAGAGTTCAGGCCCCATGACCAACAACAACAAAACAAAGACATATAGACAAATAATTAATTTAAAAAATTAATGAATGTATAAGTATTTAAATTTTAGATAAATATTTAAATATTTTAAAATAAATACAAAAAAAGAAAGAAAAATTAATTTTAAAAGTAAAAAAATATTTTTAATAATAAAAAGATACTGTACACCATGCAACAACAAGTACTATTAGAAACTGGGACCTGGCTAAGGAGACAAAAGATAGTCCTCACTTTAAAAACAACAAACCTAAGAGGACCAAACATACTGGCACCCACCTGCAATCTCAACCACTCAGGAGGCAGAAGTAGGAGTATCTGGATCCAAATCCAGCCTGGGAAAAAACCTTTAGGTCTTAACAAGCTCCAACAAAAAAGGAATGGGAACGTGGCTGAAGTGGTAGAGCACTCAAACATGACGCCCTGAGATCAATTTCCAACACTACCAAAACATAACTTTTCAAAAGAAAGACATAGAACGGGAAAAATAAAAATGCTATTACTATGTGATATTTGCTGACCCGGGGTATTCAATAACATGGGCCACTGATGTAACTGGCTCATAAGTGCATCCCCTTCAATATTAATTCTACTTACTGATGAGGAGACAGCGGTACAGAAAAATTGTTTACTGGCTCAAGGTCACATTAAAAAGCAGTGCCCAAGCACATCCCTGTAATCCTAGTTACTGAGGAGGCTGAGATCTGAGGATCAATGTTCAAAGCCCAACAGACTAACCTGAGAGAGTCTTATCTCCAATTAGCTAGCAAAAAGCCTGAAGTGGAGCTGTGGTTCAAGTGGTAGTGGACCAGTTTTGAGTGGAAAAGACAAGTGAGAATGAGAATCTTTCAATTCAAGGCTCAGTACCATCACACACACACACACACACACACACACACACTCACTGTGTGTGCACTTTGGAGAGAAGTGGGCTGTGGGCCTCAGGAACTATTAGTGACCTGATAATGCCAAAGATTAACTCACCGTCTTCCCCAGAGGCAAAAGAAAACAAAAATATGTTTTCAACCACGTTGAAAGGTTGTATCTAAGGGGTAGGACGCTGGTGAGCACAGAATATAGAGAAACTTGGGGGGAGGGGAAGGTCTTCTGAAAATAGCAAGGCGCCAACTGTGTTTCAGGGAAAGTCCCTTCCGTTCCCCCCTCCCCTCTCCTCCCCAACCCCCCCCCCCCCGCCGGGGATCAAACTTGTCACCAATACCTTTGAGCTCAAATCCTCCAGCGTGACCACTGAGGAGGAAATCGCAGAGGGCAGGGCGTCAGTGCCGCCTCCTGTAGTCCAGACCCCCAGCTCCTGGGCCGGAAGCAGCCAGTTTACTTTCTGTTTCCCTGCTGTCCCTGTCTGGTTTACTGGGTTCATAAGTGAGCTGATTTTTATTTTAATCACTGGGAATAAAGAAGGAGACGCTGTGGAAGCACTTCCCTGCCGCAGAAAGGCAGTGAAAGATGCACTCGCAACTTCACTTTATTCTGGAAGACTCACTCCCAAAGAAATGTCGAGGAGTTAAAGGAACCGATGCCCCATTTCCAACCACTCAGGACAGTTCACCCGTCCAGAGGCAAACTACTACCAACCAATGAGGAAAGCATTTGTACTAATTTCATTTCACGTAAACACCCCTGTCTGTGGCCGGCGGCGTGCAGTTGTTCTCTTGGGGAATCTGGGAGAGGAATTTCCCTCTGAGTTTTGATCCAAATCTCAGCCCCAAGTCACTGGACCCTCTGAAACCCCTCCCCTAGATCGTATTTCAAGGTACCTGTTAAGTCAAAGCTATCCTGCCTCTGAACTGTGGGGACTTGTACAAAGCACCACACCAGCACAACTACAGGCTACACCACCGTTGTGCATTACCTGATCATTACAGCAACACAGCAGATTGCTCTCCCATGTTATAGACGGCAAAATAGAGTCTGGAATTAATTACTTGGCTTCACAGTCCATCCAAACAAAGACAAGGATTTCACTGGGCATCAGTGGCTCATGCCTGTAATTCTCACTACTCAGGAAGCTGACATCTGAGGATCCTGGTTTGAAGCCAGCCAGGGCAGGAAAGTCTGTGAAACTCTTACCTCCAATTAACTACCAAAAATTCAGAAATTTTGGAACTGTGGTTCAAAGTGGTAGAGTGCTATCCTTGAACACAAAAACTCAGGGACAACACCCAGGACCTGAGTTCAAGCCCCAAGGCTGGCACAAATAATAATAATAATGACAAGAATTTCTCACTGGCACATACTAACCTTCCTTCCTCCACATGGTTCAAAATGTGCCCTGAGAATGGAAGCCACGAAAGCAAACTAGGACTTAAGCATAAAAAGCACAAGATAGGGGCTGGGAAGGTGGCTCAGTGGTAGAGCACTCGCCTTGCATGCATAAAGCCCTGGGTTCAATTCCTCAGCACCACATAAGCAAAAAGAAAAAAGCCGGAAGTGGCGCTGTGGCTCAAGTGGTAGAGTGCTAGCCTTGAGCTGAAGAGC